AGTACTCTAATATGTATATATTCCATACTTTCTTCATCCATTCTTCAATTGAAGGGCATCTAGGTTGTTTCCAGGTTCTGGCTATTACAAACAATGCTGCTATAAACATAGTAGAGCATATACTTTTGTTGTGTGATAAGGCCTCTCTTGGGTATTAAAGAACTAAAATCATTTCATATACTGTCCCGTTAAAACACTGTTAAAACAAGACAGTATATATGCATTTTTGTATACATGTATTTGTCTACGTGTATAAAATATGAATATTATGTAATTCAAGGTACATAGAAAAGCAAAATATTGTGTACATATAGTTTTAAATATCAGACCTTCTTTTTGAGCAGTAATTGATATCTGTAGGCTAACCTGTTGACAGAAAGACTTTATATATCCTCTGTTCATGATGTTTTTGCCTTTTAATTGGGGTATTTGAGATATGATTAACAAATGGGAAAAGCATTATCCTTTTGTCCAGCATGTTCAGGAAGTAATTATCTGAGATTTTCATAGCTCATATCAATACTTCATGATGCTGGGGACCCCTTGACTATTGGTTTTAGAAACATGAATTTTAATGTTTATGGCTGAGGGAAAATTCTTTTTCCTACAGTAGTAAGAATAATAATAAAAAACTATTAAAATTTTGATTGTTTTATTTTTTCTGCTTATATTGGCAGATGAAAATACAATTCTTGGAACCTAAGAAATGTTATTTTGATATATTTTAATCTGAAGATTGATAGCCTTAGAAAGAAGTAAAACAAAATGTTTAATATTGCCCTAGAGCTGGTTGTGATCATTTTTCCTTTTGGAAGCTATTTTATTACTTAACAGAGGGATAATGTCAAAGAGTTGGTATTGAAAATGCTGGGGAATGTGTGAAGCCAGTAGAGAGAATAAGAAGTCGAGAATAGAGGAAGAGGAGACATCAAGGACTACGTGTAAAACGAAATGGAAGTAACAGTCATCCTGAGATGACTGTCACTATTGAAGTTTGAGTTAGTATAATAGACTAAGTAATACGGCCTCTAAGTATAGCCACTTCCTCATCCCTACATCATGTAAATTAGTGGATTTATGTGTATAACAAAATGAAGTATCTCTTAGGCAGGCACAGGGCCATTCTACTCCTAGATACCAGGATGCTCAGCCAAGAGGATCACAAGTTCAAGGCTATCCTGAACTACATGGCAAGACCCTATTTCACAAACAGTAAAATAAAGTGAGAAGGAATCAAAATGGGTGACTGATATTATATGGATTAGAAGAAAATAGTTATAGATCTCTAATGAATTTAAATCTTAATTTAACAAAAAATAATCTTGTCGAGATTGTATTTTGACATTAACTGGGTGAATGACTATATACTATATATTTTTGGACAGAGAGTGTATAAACCTTCATTTTATACAATATAAAGTAATAAACTATATATATATATATATACATATATATATACATGCATACACACATATATGATCGAAAAATAGGAATCTTAAGCATACTAGGAAATGTAAAAGAAAGATGTTTGGATCCAGCTATATACCTGATCAATGTCCCAACTGCAGTAAACTTTAACAGCTATATAACTTAAAAATATTCATAAAATAGTGTCAGAAAGCTTTGGAAGCCCCTAGACTTTGGAGGTCAGACAACTGGTGGGGGAGCTCAGTTTCATGCACCATCTTTTCTGCTTGAGTGATTAGTCAGTTTATAAAACATCACCTAGGGGAAAGAACCCAGAATGAGGCTGAACGTTAAGTTAAAAGACCCAACAGAGGTATGGATAGGGTTGGGCTCCCCAAGGCAAAAAGGCTTAAAGGCTAGGTCCCCTAGGAAAGGAAAATGGCTTTAAGCACCTTCCAGTGAACTGCTTGCCACTCCAGCCAGTGTGCTCTGCTCAAAGGTTTCAGGAAGACAACTAGAAAAAAAAAATCCAAGTAGAATTTTCAAATTTTCAGTGGTATCTAGGGTAACAAGTGATTCATACCTCACAAAGAGGAGATAGAACCTCAAGTGAGGAACCAGAGGAACTGAACCACAGAAAAGCCACTGGCAGGCAGACAGCCTTGTAGTACACAAAGAGTGCAAGTTGTAAGAGGACAGTGAAACCAAGAAGTGATTGGTGAATTTCATGGTCACCAGGTTGTGAGAAGCCCTTGTATCTCTCCCTGTAAGTTTAAAAAATGCGTTGAAACTGGAGGGAGGGAGGGAGGGAGGGAGGGAGGGAGGAATGGGAGGGGAGGGATGGGGAGAAAGGGAAGAATGGAGAGAGGGAAGGAGACTATGAATGAATGAGAATTGAAATGGATAGTTAAGAAAATCAACAAAAATAGAGAAAGGAGAATAGAGTGAGCATCTTCATGCTGTGTTGTTTATGGTGAGAAAAGAAGCCAGTATGTTCAGCCTCTTTTGCAGGAGAACATCATCTTGATTAATTTCCTAGCTTTATTCCCCTGGAAACTGGGGGTAGCATCTGCCATGCCAGTCTGAGTTTCTCCTGAGCCTAAGGTCCTTTCTGACTGGAAATGGAATGCTTAACCAGGCTTTGATGCACTGCAAGCATCAATACCAAGCTGCAAGACATTTTGAAAAGGACAATTCACATATATTCTCTGACAACATGTGATTAGTGATACGAAGCTGAAATTACAAGAAACATACCTCCAAGTGCCCCAGTACCAACAGGTTACACATTGTGTTCCCAAATATGCCCGAAATAAAAAAAAATAATGTTCAAATCAGAAAAAAATATTCAACTAATGGAGATGGATCAGATAAACCAAAACACATAGTCTTTATAGCTGTGATTACAAATTTATAAATACCAAGTAAGACCTATGAATACATTTATTTAAAAAGCAATTATCCCATGTATCATAGCAACATATGAAATACCTATAAAATAAATGAGTATTAAGCGTATTTTCATCAAATTATCCAATATTATTCATATTTGCTAATTTATGTAGAAGAATATTTGTTTTATGAGTTAGTTAAAAACTTATTAGTAAAAAGTGTCAAAGATGTTACCAAATGGGAAATTATAGGCTTGTCTCTCTCATGAAAATAAACGCAACAATTATTGTGTATAAGGTACTGGGATCAAATACAGTCGTTGTAGGCAGAAAAAGAAAGTGACATGATATGTTGCGTCTATTCCAGAATATTACCCCGTTTAAAGAAATGATTGCTTCCTTTCTTTCTCACTTTTTCAATCTCATGCCTCCTCATTCTTAATTAACACCTTAATTTAGTGGAGCAAACCCTTCAGAAATTTTCTCAGAAATGGCTCCTAGAGCTATGTTTTTTGGTGGTTATACTTATCTGAAAATATCTTGCCTCTCGAATGACAGTGTTGGAGATTCTGGCAGCCCCCCCCCGGCCCCCACCTAACTCTCTTATCCAAGGTGGGTAGGAAATCTCACATCCCTTGAAATAATCATGGAATAATCAGCTATGAGTGGAGCCTATATGTGTTGAACTTTCAGTTCTAAACATTTAAATCATTGTAATCTGTTCATTTTCTTTAGTCCTGTTGGACACCACTGAGATGATGGGGGCTTGCTCATTCTTCAGTCATTGTTCACAAGGCATTGCTCTGGAGAGCTCTCAGCTGGCATGGTTTAGAAGTAAGCTTTTCTATTTGGCCTTTGAGATTTGCAGGAAGCTCATCAATAAAGAGTAATTTAACGTATCTTGGCTAATGTAAGTATTGCAGTTTTATTTTGGAAATATTTTCTTGATAATTTCCAAATATTGCTTTATTGTGCTTCACCTGACATTGCATTGAGTCTAAAATCATATTCTGATTCCTTTAAACAATACCTTATTTCAATTTTAGAAGACAATTTGTTTTTATTTGTGTGTATGAGAGACAGAGACAGAGAGAGACAGAGAAAGACAGAGAGAGACAGACAGACAGTCAGACCCAAAGACACACACACACACGGGGAGAGAGAGAGAGGAAAAAAAAACACACCATGTGTGTGCAAGCACCTAGAAGCCAGAAAAAGTCTGAAGCTGGAATTATAGGTGTTCCTAAGCCACCTGATATGGGTACTGGGAACTGAACTTAGGTCCTCTGTACAGCAGCATGTTCTCTTAATGGCTCAGCTATTTCTCTATAATTTCTAAGATTCTTTTTCTGATTATCTTTGTTTTGATAGTTTATTTTATGTTTAAGATATTTTATATTTTTGATGGTGTGTTACATAATATTTTAAATATGTTTTTCTATATCTAAATTATCAAATGACTTTTTATATGATTTTCAGATCAAATATAAGTGGTTTCCCACTTAGGAAAAGGTGTTACATACGGCTAGAAGTTTCTTATGTTTGACAGGCCTTAATGAGTGTCTGGTTTATATATGTTTATATGATTTCAGAAGTTCATAGAAACTGCACCATAGGTTGGTTGTGTGTGTGTGTGTGCGCGCACACACATGTACATGAATGTGTGTCTGTCTGTCTGTGGTCTATGGAAAGTCACTTTTTCCAGAAATAAATTCCATAATTCTATGTTTTGGGGCTATCTACACTGAAGTATGGGACAACGTAAGGGCTATTAGAATTATTTACTCCTATTATAGCAAGATATTCCCTGTATCAAACATTACTAAGTCCAACATCCTTATGATTAAATCCCTCAACTTTCATGTGTCCAGTGGGAGGAGAATTTGTAATAGAGAGGGAAGCAAAGTCCCCAAACAGAACCCTTTCTGCTTAAGTTTTCATTTCATGCACATCGCTTCAAATGGGTGGGGCAGTGAGGACTGTTTGCTATGAGCCGCCTTGAGATCTTGCTAACTTATAGTCCCAGTCACTGCAGTCTGGAAGTGTCCAATTTCTCACTCATCATTGACAGTAAAAAAAAAAAAAAAAAGTAAATGTTTTAACCAGTACATCAAAAAGCAAAGCTAATTAAAGCAACTGATGTTGCCATCAGTGATTTATGAGGACCTCATTTAGGAACATGGGAGTTCTATTGGCTAAAGGACAGAGAGGGCTAATTCAACCCCTCTTTAAAATTTATTTATCTTTATGCATATGTCTATGGTAGGTTTGATGTAATTTTACTTTGAAGTTAGAGTTAAATATTCATGTCAGGAAATGAGTAAAAATTTAGTTAGAAACGGGAAATCCATAGAATTGACAAATAAATCCAACATATGCATTAGGGCTATCAGAGCTAGAACCTGACAGCTGTGTTTATGAGGGGAAGGTGCCCATGAAATATCTGCTTTTGTCATTTTCAAGGTATGTGGTGTTACTTTATCACACAAAAATTTTACCTAATGAAGCAGGCATTCTGTTTTTAATTTTGTTTATTTCTAACATTGTGTTTTAATTACAGATCTCACCCTTACCCTTTCTCCCTCCAAGTCCTCCCTCCACACTCCTTCAAATTGATGGCCTCTTTTTTCAGCAATTGTTTTTTGCATGAATATCCATTGTAGGATATTTGTACACTGTGTGAAGATGTATTGCTGTGATTGCAGTAATAGACAGCTGAACAGCCAATAGCTAGAAAGGAGGTTTAGGTAGGACTTCTGGATAGAGAGAGAACTCTGGGAAGAATAGAGGTGGAGTCACCAGCCAGATGTGGAGAAAGCAGGATGTGGAGAATGAGAAGTAACAGCCACGAGTCATGTTGTAGAATGTAGATGAATAAAAATGGGTAAATTTAAGTTATAAGAACTAGTTAGAAACATGCCTAAGCTATAGGCTGAGCTTTCATAATTACACATTATTTGGGAGCTGGCAGACAGGACAGAAAAGGCATATTACAGATGCATGCATTTATATATACGTGATATAACCTGAAACAGACACTTCTGATTAAACATAGGACTTTAATATGACTGGATGAAGGCTATAGTGTTGATGGGAAAGTCTCATGCATGGAGCGTGTCAGGAAGCCCTTGGTGAGCCTCTTTCAGTTGTCTAGGACTCTTTCTATAGTCATGAAAAACATCTTTTCTTTGGAAAAAGCACATTATTGATAAAATCTTTCCCAATACCTATTCAGAGTTATGCTTATAACTTGAACTTGTCTAATTCTATGCAATATAAAGTAAATTAATAAAACATAAAATAGTCTTTATTTATTTCACTTTCCAGAATCTGGGGAGTTTATTTGCTTTTTATACGTATTCCTTTATAGGATATTTTCCTTTTATTAGTAAACCGAAGCCGTCTTTTAGTGCCTAATTTCAAAAGAACACCTGTAATGCTATGTCACTGCTCTGAGTTATTGAGGCCATAAAGGGAAAGAGAGGACATTTCTGAGGAAGAGCCATAGTATGACCATGAATACTGATGATAAACAAACCCTTCCATGAACCTTCCAAAGCTGATGACCTCACATTGCACTGCTGGGAACTCTGAAATTTGGTGAACTCCCATTAGATCAGTCCCACCATCTCCGTTGGTGGATGCACCCTCGCTGTCTTGACTTCCTCGCTCATTTCTCCCTCCTTCTGCTCTTCATCTGGACCTTGGGGGCTCAGTCCAGTGCTCCAATGTGGATTTCTGTCTCTATCTCCATCCATCGCCAGATGAAGGTTCTATGGTGATATGAAAGATATTAATCAGTGTGGCTATAGGAAAAGGCCGGTTCAGGCACTCTCTCCTGTGACTGCTATTATACGTAATCATGAACTCCACCATCTGAAACTGTAATCACCAAACTCTTTGATAAGTTGTCATGACCATGTTGTCTTATCACAGCAATAGAAAATTAACTAAGTCGTTTTTCACAGAAAAAAATGATAGAGAAAGAGGAGCAAAGCCAAACTTCAACAAACTGTGTTACAAAGGGATATAAAATAAATAGGAACATGGATAGTGTAAAATAATGGAGAGCCCAGGTACAAACCCATAAATCTAGCAAACAAAAGTTTGATAATGATGTCAAGAATGTATAATGTTAAATCCTAGTAGGAAAGTCACAAACTTTCATGCAACAGAATGAAGCTGAACACTTATTTTATACTAGACACAAAAATAATTCAGAATATATTAAAGCGTTAAATGCAAGCAAGACATAAAGCAGAAGACTCTTGAAAAACAGGAAAACTTTTTTGCTGTGGTGTTGGCAATATTTATTTAATTTTTGGCTCTAACACCAAACACATAGGCAACCGAAGACAAAAATTAGCAAGTAAGATAAATGAAATGTCAAAGCTTTTGCACAGCAAAGGAAATGGTCAACAAAATGCAAAGCTAACTAATGGAGTGAGAGAAAATATTTGCAAAGTTTGTATCTGAAAGTCAGTATCTGAACTTATAAACAATTTTAATAGCAACCTCAAATAACCTGTGTCTTAGGGTCAGTATTGCTGTTTTAAACTATGACCAAAAGCTGATTGGAGAGAAAAAACATTTTTTTCAGCTTACAGTTACATACCACACTTCAACACTAAGGAAAGCTCCCCTCCCTAATTTTTCTCTGCATTTCTATATTGAAATAATTAGATCTTGAATAATTTCAATGCTGTTCTCACATGCTAGCTCCCTGTATTTCCTACATAAGCAGAAATATCATTGGTATCTTTTTACATAGACTCTTATGAATACTAAACTATAGTTGAGTATTTTAAATGTTACAAAAGGGTATCAGGGAATGTACAGCCAACTTTCTTTTTTCTCCCACTGATCTGTACCTCTGAATGTTGTTTTTGTTGACCATGGTAGCTTCAGGATATTAACTTTAAATTACTTATTCTATCTTGTGCAGGAATGAGCTTCATGATGCATCAGGGCATTTGCTGTTGTTTTGTGATTACACAGGTTCTATAAAAACATTCTCTGCATCCTGTATGTTTTCTAACTTATGTAAAGAGGCAGACTCATTAGGTTTGTAGCTCACAACTCTGGTCCCATTAGGCACTTCTAAATCGTGCATTAATTGGGTTACCTTTCTGTTTGCCCTGAGTCATTTTTTCCATCCCCACAGCCCCAAAATTTTACAAAGAAATTATATGACATTGGGTCTTAGTGTCCCTGCTAATATCCAGTAAAGTAGAAGCCATCATACATTTATGAAATAGCTCATGGTTCAAACAGCATATCACAATGAAAATTGGAAAACAGAATTATCAGCAGTGAATTATTGTGTATATAAGTAGCAAAGTCAGGTAGGCATCTCTGTTGCTTGACTTTGTCTAAACAACTCTTCCTTTGAGAATTCTACCTGCATGTGCCCACTTTGTATTTGAGTTAAAATTCAAGAGTCAAGTCACACATCTAGGTGCCCTAGAGAGAAAGCTCACATTTTCCCAGCCTAAGTGTGAATCAGCCTTAACACTTTGCCTTGTATGTTCCACGATGTTGGAACAGGAGGCAAGTGTGGTGGCTCAAGGTTCCCAGAAGTGGAGAGACTTTTGATAGACAGTGGAAAAGGTGACTAGTTGATTATTTGAATTCAAAGTTATTATTTGGGGAACAATACACAGTCTTGGATTTTTCCTTGAGTAAAAAGAAGACAAGAGACAGAATAGAATTTCATATGTGTAAGTAGAAAAGAAATCCCACTGTTCTCTTCTGTGTCGAGATAACTATTAACCTGGAAGGGGAGTTTCACCTTCTCTGTCCTTTCATGTCCTGGCCATTGACTGGTGATGCTGGAGTTTGCACAGAGAAACCGCAAGGCCTGTTGAAGACAGAAACAATGTACTCCTGTGATGTTCTCACTGTCAGAAATCCCCCAGACCTCCAGTCCCAGGGTCTGTTTCTGCAGCTGGTGCTTTCCTCTCCAGCTCCTGGATATACTTGTTTGCTTACCGTCCTTTTATCCTCATAGACTATTTTTGCTAATGCTCTCTTCCAGTCTCCAGCCTCAGACTCATTTTAGAATCAGAACAGAACTCTTAGAAAGCTGCTTATACTCTGCTGTGTTTCTCAAGCTGTTATACAATGACTTTGGTTTCTCAAAGCTTTTCAAGTTAACTAAAAAGGCAATCAAACAGACTGGTGTGAAACCAAAAGAGGGTGAAACAGTCTGAAAAGTTCCTAGAATGGGGAAGAATGGAGATGCTGGCATATGAGTTTCTATGTTAGTTCCAGAGAAGTTCAAGCCATAGTGACAATGGTAGATTGGGGCTTCGGGAAGAGCAGAGTAATTGATTACAGACAGGGAATAAGCAATTGTGGAGAGCAAGAATGGTAATGGAAATAGGGCCTCCTGCAATGGGCTGGGTATGACAACTTGTATTCTAATACAGCCTGTCTAGTCCTATGATGAAGGATAAGAAAATTGTGGCTTAGCAGAGGCTGAGTGACTTGCTTGACACAAAGGTTTAATCATTGATATGGGAGGGCAAGATGAAACCATAGATGTTACACAGTTAAGCTGATCTTGGGTTTTTAGTTCCTTACCAAAGTAGTTAAATGACAGGTTTGTTTGGTTTTGTAAATAAAATTTTATTGTATACAGATATACCTACCAGATTGCATTGATCTATAATCAGTTTCAAACTACAGTAATAGAGATTGAGAGTTGTGACAGAGACCTCATGAGCTGGATGGTCTAATAAACTAGGTTTATTATTACCTAGTTTTTACAGAAATAAATCCAACAGGCAAACAACAAACAAACAAACAACCCCCTCTTCTTTGTTCTGTTCTTCATTTTCTTTAGAACTGGGGAATTTTTTTTTTTTTTTTTGCTGTTTTGTTATCATTTGGGAACCCTGATTGCTCTTTGGGCTGACGAGGGAGGGGGACTTGATTGGGGGAGGGGGAGGGAAAGGGGAGGCGGTGGTGGGGAAGAGACAGAAATCTTTAATTAATTAATAAAGAAATAAATAAATTAAAAAAAAGAACTGGGGAAATTTTGCTCTGGTTTCTTTTTAGTCTTTTATATAGACTCCTACTTAGTCTATAAATGGAGGTTAACTATTCTCTGGATAATTCTTCACCTATTTTTAGAATCAGTCTTTACAAGATTGACAGGTGTTATCTTTCAATCTGCTTCCTAAGGAGCTAGATTCCCTTAACATTTTTCTAAGGCTTCAGACAGAGATGTATTGTTCTCTGTGCCTCTAAGCACAGAAAGTGTCCCTGTATGATCATATGACTCCCAGAGAATAAAAAGTTTAAGATTTCTGGGTGCTCTTATTTTGTATTTGTCCTTATGGTCTTCTATAGCTCTTACTAATTTTATGGAATTAATTACTGGAACCAGTATTCAGTCTAGGAAACACTATTTCTATTATGTTTTCTTTATTCTTGAGATTTTCATTCATATATACAACAAAATACTATCTGATCCACTCCCTATTTCCCTCCAACTCTCCCCATACACTTTTCCCAACATGTTACCTTTCCAATATCATGTCTTCTTATTTTTCTTTTTTAAAACCCAGTGCGTCCAATTAGTGCTGACCATATGTGCATGGATGTAGGGCCATCCGCTGGAGCATGGGAAACCTACCAGTGGGAGCACCTTAAAAAAGAATAATTTTCTAGCCTTGAGTAGCTCTCAATGACCAAAAGCTCCACAGTTAGAGGTAGGCCCTGGAGAGCACCTCTGCAATCTATGCAGGAATCTTGTCTGGTTCTATTTTGTCCAGATACAGAAATTTTATCTGGTTCTATTCTGTGAAAACAACCACAGCTGTTGTGAGTTTCTGAGTACAATAGCCTTGTCATATTTTGAAAACAGCATTTAACATTCTGCCTCATCTATCAGTTCTTAGATTCTTTTTAACTGCTCTTCTACAATGTTTATTGGGGGTTGAGTTATGGATCCTGCATAGGACTGAATATGCAGTCTCTTATTCTTAGTACTAAGACTAATTGTACATTTCTACACTGTCTGCCCTCTGAGCATCTAACAGCATGGCTCACCAAGTGTTTGGTGAATGAAGAATGAGTATGATGAAATATCTCAAATGATGAGATGATGAAGTTGTCCTTTTCCATGTTTTCCCCATATATCAGATTTCTTGTTCAGTATGTGACCTGGTTGTTGTATCAGTTTAAACTGTTGGCGGAATAAGGGGAGGAGGTTATACAGCCATCATCCATTGGATTTGTAGCTTGATGTGACTTTTGTTTGTCATTGGAAACTTTTCTAGATATTTTCTTTGTAGCAGATAACTACCTTGAAACTTATAATAGTATAATTCTCAGTTGTATTAATTTCCCACTACTTATTAAACAGAGTGGGTTTAAAACATACAGTTATCACTTCATAGTTCTGGTGGTGAGAAATTTTATGTGGGGCTGCCTAAACTAAACTCACGATATTAGCAAAATGTTATCTCTCCAGGAGTCTGTAGATGATACGTGGTGTCCTTGCTCTCTTGATTCCTAGAGGCCACTTGTATCTCTTGCCTTGTGTATTTCTTCATTCACTTTCAGCATCATCTGCCAAGCATGGTCACATATCTTTCTCTTCTCCTCTGACCCACAAGTCTTCCTCTCTCTTAAAGGACCATTGTGATGACATTGGACACATCAGAATAATCCCCTATCTCACCATTATTTCTTTTATTACATCATGTGGGATGTCCTTCTGTATATGGGTTGCTTTTATTGGTTGATGAAAAATCTGTTTGGACCAATGATTTAACAGAGTAAATCCAGGTGGGAAATTAGAACAGAGATAGAGTAGGCAGAGACAGAGAGACACCATGTAGCTGCCAGAGGAGACAAACACTGGAACCTTACCAGGAGACTACAGCCTCGTGGTGACACAGATGAATAGAAATGGGTTGATTTAAGATGTAAAAACTAGAAAAGAACCCCCCCCCCAAACATTGATCAAACAGTGTTCTAATTAATGTAGTTTCTATGTGATTGTTTGGATCTGGGCATCCAGGAACGAAAGAGCAATCCCCATTTACAATTACATGTGCAAATCAACTCTTTCCTTGGACGGTAACATATTTACAAGCTCTGGGAATTAGAAGTGAGCATATTTGAGGAGACATTCAGCCTACCATACCATGTTTCCTCCTTTCCTTAATTTCTCATTGATTTTCTTTTTAGTAATTGGAAGAATCCTAGAGAAGGCCCTCAAAGAAGCTTTTCTGGACATTGCTCTCAGAATTATATAACTCTTTCTGGGGCTTTTACTAACATTAGTGTCTGAATCCCCAGACCTCTCTGCCTAGAGTCCCACATGTTCTTTTTCACTTAGATCTGAGTTAAAGACATAGTATACAGTACATCACTTTAGGATAGTCTGTCTTCTGAACCTTAATGTTGCCTGTTGATCCTGGTCTAAGAGCCAGAATATGAAAAGTTTTTGAAGGGCAATTCTTTTTGGAAGACCTTGACCCTAAACAATATACAAAGATAAAAGCTATTTTGTTCTATGTGATTCTGTGGGATTCAGCATGTGTTTCAGTATCCCTTTTTGTTTACTCATTGATGACCTGCAAAAACGCAATTTAATATTACTTTAATTATTTGGACTTTGGATTTTCTCCATCTTTATTATTGTGTCCTAATACTTCATGATTTATGAGCATACACATGTTACCAGGTGGGTAACATGTATATGCTCTCCTACCGTCTCCATTATTCTGTGTTTGATTGGAAGGTAATAGAGGTTACTTCAAGGATTACTGGGATGTAATGTGACTATATTTATTGCAGTTCTTTTTTCTGCATACATTAAAAACTGAAAACAAAAGTAGATGGAACAAAATTGAAATAAAATTAAAGTCTTAGGTACATATTATTTTAAAGAAAATTATCAGAGAGATGTTTGACAGGAAGAATAACAAGTGAGAATGCTCATTTTAGTTACCAGGAGATAAACAGATCATTTTACATTTCAGAAAAGAAGATTTGAAGTTGTGTTCTATTGATTCTTGCATCAACGGATTCAGTGTTTGACCCATCATTAATTAATTTCTTACTAGCTAATGTTTTGTTGACTTCACATCACTGCCTAAAAGAATTTCAGAGTCCCTGCAACTAATTAAAACATGGAAGATTGTATTTTGACAACTGAAGCTAATGACCTCTAGGTCCACTTCAGGAACAATGTTTACTAAAAGAAATGTTGTAAGGAAGGCCATTTGTTTCCCAGCTGCTCAGTCCCAAAATAATCACACAGAAACTTTATTATTTAAAACACTGCTTGGCCCATTAACTTTAGCATCTTATTGGCTAACTTTTATATTAATTTCACCCATCTCTATTAATCTGTATATTGTCATAAGGCTGTGGCTTACCAGATAAATTCCAGTGTTTGTCTCCACCAGGGCTACATGGCTTCTCTCTGACTCTGCCTTTCTTTCTCTCAGCATTCAGTTTAGTTTTCCCTGCCTACTTAAGTTCTGCCCTGCTATAGGTCCAAAGCAGTTTCTTTATTCATTTATGGTAATCAGTACATACAGAGGGAAATCCCACACCACCTCCCCTTTTCTGTTTAAATAAAAAAGAAGGCTTTAACTTTAGCATAGTAAAATTATGATAACGAAACAGTTGTCAAGCAAGAATTACAGTTACAATATTTATATCTATTTTATGTTTTATCATAACTAATGAAAACTATAACTATAAATGTTTCAACTCCATCAAAGACTCCAGAAGGATATCCTATTACCTAAGTAAACAATAAATTCATTGTAAGCAAGTTTCAAAACTCTAGAATTGACAGAGACATCTTGCTATGTGGATAGTTACCCAAAG